AACCTCCTTAAAAAGTATTTTGAGCGAGAGGAGACTGCAGTCGAAGGAGCAGTAGCTGTTGGAGCAGGTGCTACGAGTATAGATGATGCTGTCGACTGTGAAGCTAAAGTTGATGAAGCAGAGGAAGAAGAGGTTGATTTCTTAGAGCTTGGTGGATATGTAGCCAAGGAGTCAATTGAGGATGTTACAACTGGACCGAATCTTACGGACGAGCAACAGAATGAATTTACGGATCTGGCTAAACAGTTCACGAATTTGTTCACTGAAGCACCAGGTACCACAGATCTTGTTCAGCATCATATTAAACTCACCTCAGACGAGCCAGTTAGATCAAGACCTTACCCAGTACCTTACAGCATGAGAGAATCATTGAGAAAAGATATCGCTGACATGATCAAAATGGGAGTTATTAGAGAGTCCAGTTCTCTGTATGCGTCACCTGTTGTAGTAGTGAAGAAAAAAGATAACACAAACCGCGTGTGCGTAGATTATCAGAAATTAAATAAACTAACTGTATTTGATCCTGAGCCTATGCCAACTGCTGAACATTTGTTCCAGAAGCTTAGTGGAGACAAATTCTTTTCAAAAATTAACCTTAGCAAGGGATACTGGCAGATAGCTATACCAGAGGAGGACATTCCGAAAACTGCGTTCGTAACACCTGACGGGACGTACGAGTTCTTGAAGATGCCGTTTGGAATGATTAACTCGGCGGCAACACTGAAGCGTGCAATGAAGAAATTGATAGAAGATCTAGATGATGTCGACTTCTACTGGGATGATATACTGGTTCACACCCCAACGTGGGAAGAACATATCAGAGCCCTCAGAGAGCTGTTTTCGCGCCTTGTACAAGCTGGGTTGACTATTAGACCTACGAAGTGCCTATTCGGAGTAAACAGTGTGGATTTCCTAGGCCATTGATTGGAGCAAGGAATGATTGGTCTACATCAGGATAACGTGGAGAAACTTAAATATGACCCAAGGCCAAGCACAAAGAAACAGGTGCGGTCATTTATGGGTCTAGCAGGATACTACAAAGATTTCATTCCCAACTTCGCAGCGATCGCGGCGCCCTTATCTGATCTCACACGGAAAGGCCAACCCAATAAAGTTGAGTGGGGTGAAGCACGGGAAAAAGCCTACCAAACAATCAAGTCCTACCTAACAAGTGAACCTATTCTACGTCTTCCCGATCCAGCTAAAACCTAGTTCTCACGGACGGATGCCTCCAACAATGGAATCGGTGCAGTATTGATGCAATGGCACGATGAGAAATTATTCCCGGTTTGTTAGGCAAGCAAGAAATTGTCGAGTGCGGAGCGCAACTACTCTACAATCGAGAAAGAATGCCTAGCGATTGTATGGGGAATCAAGAGATTTCATCT